TCAGCCAGCTTTGCTGGCTGAGGAATTCTGGGAGTTGAAGTCCACAAGTCTTAAAGTTGCCAAGGTTGGACACCCCTGATGTATACTAAGACAGAGGCGTGTCACCAGCTGGGGACAAACACAAGTTTCTTACTTCTACTGGGAGGTCAATAGAAGTACTGGGGAAATCAAAGCCCCTGAACTTTTGCATACGCTCAGCCCTTAGTCATCATCTTCATCCTCCCACTGATTCTTTCCCGGTTCTACCCAAGCCCTTTTCCCAGGCACAAAGAAGAACATCTGACCTTCTTCAGGTTACCAGCACGGGTTCCAATGAAGACAACCGAATGGCCACGATAGGTATAAGCAGCCACACTGGCCATGCCCTCGGTCTGTTCTTGGAGCAACGGGCGTCCCTCGATGACCTGCAACCCTCCTAGGGGCTGGTTCAGTACCAACCCACAGAAATTGCCATTGATCTGCATGGGCTAGAAAGAGGCAAAAAAAGGGGACACGAGGGTCAGCATCACATGGGAATGAGTAACTTAAGTACACAGTGTTATCCAACAAGCCCCATCTGTGTGTACATTACGGCAGATATTTGTGCCCCGGTTATCAAAGTATGTCATTAACCACAAGGGCTCAAAGAAAAGTTCCCAGATTTGAGCTGCAGGATAAGATAAGAGCCAAGAGCCAAGAAAAATACAAGCAATTTCCAAGGGGTGGGATGGCTGGGATTCTTATTTTAGAAAGGAATGGAAATGGGCAATTATTAGGTAGGAAGTGAGGAAGCAGAGACTGCTTAATAGTGCAATACCGTGTTGATGCAGGGCAACTCTTTGTTGAGAAGCCACGGGAGAGAGAGTCTCCCTTCCCCACGGTAGCATGACTGGATACGCTCGCGGATGCGTTGATTGACTTCATCCAGCGTGAAGAGGCACAGCAGGCTCTCCCGGGGTGGTGCTGCCCTGTTCTTCTGGCCTTGCGAGAAGGCGGCGTAAAGCACATCTTGCCCTTCTGCGATGCCCAGCGACTTGGCCAATTGTCGGCCCGCTTTGGCCAACTGAGCCGCTTGAACCAGACGGTATTCCACCCCATCCTTGGAGCAGCCCAGGGGAAATTCCACGTAAGAGTAGAACTCGGTGTCATTGGCACATAGGCGCACAATCTTGGATGAAAAGAAACGCTCCCCGCCCGTCGTGCCAGGGCCAATGGGACCCCCAGCAGGCTCGAGGGGCGTCTGAGCAGTGTCGAGCTGCAAAGTGAGGAAGTACACAAAACCACCAGACACAAAGGCAGACACGTAGTAGATATCGAAGGCAGGGTAGAGCGAGAGAGTGTCAGAAGGGACCTTGATTTGAGAAGAGACAAACTCGTCCTGATACACCAGACTGAACATCTCTGCGCTGGTGGCATCAGAGGTAAGCCGGCGGCTGGAGAGCGTGGGGAAGTACTCCGAACGTCCTCCGATTGAAGTTCCCACAAAGAACTGGCTGGGCTCTCTCAGCTGCTCCACAATCACACCGACCATGGCGTCTGGTTCACGGCCCCCCGAAAGGTAGTGCTCTTTGCGCTGGTGAGGCTCCCCTAGTTTGGCCAAGTCCTCCAACCTCAAGAGCTGGCACACGCCCTGCCAAACGCTGCCACAGGCCACGAGACGGTTGCCAGCATAGTCAATCAGAAGCAGCTTGTTGACATTGTCAGCCGGGGACAGCCGATGGGCACAGAGCCGGACGCCTGGGGGAGGGTAGCATCTGGGGTCATCTGGCACTGGCCCCGTGGTGTGCGCCCTTAGCTGGGTCAGGTTGGCTGAGAGCTTGTAGATGCGGTTGACGGCACCCAAGTAGACCTCCCCAGTCTCATGGTGCACAGCCAGATGGGTAAGAGCCATGTCCGGGACTGTGAAGACAACACGGGTGCCCCAAACAGGGGGTGACCAGAAGAGTAGGACACCAGCTATGGTGGTGACAGGAAGGAGCAGCCACCACATGATCACTGGGGAATTGCCTGGGGTCAGGCAGGGCCAGGCACAGGCAGATCATTCAGCCTGCAAGGGAGACAGAGATTAAGGTCCAGCTTCAATGTGTGTGGCAAGTGAAAAAGAAAAAAATACGGAAAAATAAAAAAAACACAGCATAGCACTCAAAGGCTGCATGGTATATACAACCTTATCCCACCTCAAAGTCATGCGACCATGTTAGAAGGTCTGTTGGACTCATCCCATCCACCTGGGACTCCTCTAAAGAGCCACATGCCCCAAGAGGTTCTGAAGGCATCATGACAGCCCCACAAAACTGCCTCAAAAAAAAAAACACCACCCTCCTTTTCTTGTTTCATACAGCACCAGTTTCCAGCTACTCACTAGCACCCACCAGACTTGGCGTGAAGCAACACCTGCAGGAGTGAGAAGGGAAGCCAGCGCTGCATTTCTCCCACACATACATGCAACAACTCAGAAAAACCAAACCCAGCAATGGCACCTGTTCATGCCAAAGGAGCAAAAACTGCACACCTGAGCAGCTGTTTCCTTCTCAGTACTACAGATATGCACATGTAGAGTCCCAGTTATAAGCCCTGCAATGCCATGGCTTCTCAGTATACACACTGTGGGGGGGGGGGGGCTTCATTTAAATTTATGAAGTAGGAAGAACCTTCTTGCACAACACATTATGCATTCACATTTATATCCAGGGTCCACAGTTATCATATGTGCATCATTATTTCAGCAGCATAATTGCAGATCCCTTACATGCTAGCAGTTCATATTGCAACAGGTTTATACCCAATTTAAATGCTGTGCATGTGCACTAGCAGATGTGCATGATCACAATGGAGATGAGGATGGTGTTGCCTTTAATACTTTACAATGAGACCTCAAAGAACTGTTCAGATGAACAGCTCCATTGCTTAATGGGTTCCATCAGCAAGGGGAAACTTTGCATGTGTGAATGAACCACTAGAAAAATGCCACATTTTCCTATCCACTCCAACAATACTTTCCACTAAATTAGTTCTATTCATGCAGCTAGATAGTTAAATAATGTGAAATCGAGCAAGGTACATGCTAATAGCCTTCACAATCTCTTTATGCCACTCAGATTCTTTTTCCAGTTCTCTTCTCACCTTTCTCAATATTACACCATCTCCACAAACACTTGGAAAGAAATCTTTCCTCACCTAGTGTGGACAAATTCACACTTTTAAAATTTCATCTGCATTAATTCACAATACACATTGTCCTCAGATTTACAGAGACGACTGAATCTGACTGTGAACATTAAAAGTTTCAGGAGAAAAAGAACCACGGGAGTGCATTTCAACAAATTGGTAAAGAACAGTATGTACTTACAACTTAGAGGAGCTAGCAAACAGACAGTTGTAGCTCAGAATCCATCTACCCAAAGGCCGATCAAAAAAAGTTCATGCAGTAAATATCATGCATTCCTTCACATTAAAAAAATGTTTTCAGAAAAGTCCAGAAAGATAGCAATATCCTGCTTTCATATTCTTTTTCTCTAAATTCAACACCTTAAGCCAAGTATTCTCCTGGACTACTGAACAAACTTTTGGAAAATGGGGAGAATATGAACAACCCATTCTTTATGTTTTCATTGAAAGTTTGTTTCTCATTTAAATTTTAGTTTCAAAAAGCTGTTTCTAAAAGCTTTTTAAAACTAAATTTTGTGCCAATCCAACATTAAATATTTATCCATTTTTTAAAAAAACTTCAACGTATGTATTCTATTAACCACTCTTAGAATAAATTTCTTGGTCAAGAAAGTTCTTTAGCAGATATCACTGAGTACCAACAGTCTAGAAGTGAATGGATGTTTAAATCTATTTAGATATTTATCATTTTATTAGCACTTTTATGTTGGGGTTCTTTACGCCAAATTGCTATTAGCACAGCAAATGTGGACTGAAATTAATAGCTGCACTTGAGACATTACAGTCTATTTTTTTGAATTTTAGTACCCCCTTCACTTCAGTGACCCAATTTTCAGCCAATGATCCAACAATCCAGTGTAGGTGGAAAGGCAAGAATTAAGGCAGTGAGTGGGCTTTTGCCTGTGAACACAGGGGAGGGGCTCTATCTCCTTGGACTATCAATGGTCTATGGACCACACAAAGAATTCATGCTCTAAAACCAAGAGATATTTGTACAGTCCATCACATAGCTTGTAAAGGAGCTTCAACAGTTTCAGAAGTAGGTCAGCCACGCAAACATGTTTTTGTGTACTCCCAAGATTGTGTGCCACCCCACCCCCACAACCCATTCAGTAAAGAGGGGGAGAAGTCAGATTAGGACAGGACTCTCTGCTTTGCTTATTCTAATTGGTAGATCACAATCTCTAGCCACCTTAAATCTGGTTTTCTTATCCCAAATCATCAGATTTTATAAATCAAGAATATACCAATCACTATGGTTGAGCTACAGGCCAAATTTGGAGATAATAGTTTGAAGTTTGAAGGTACTTGGAAGGGTCCATTGTGAGGTTTCTCCACGATATCCAAACATTGTGAGGTTTCTCCACAATATTCAAACATGCACATAAATAAAATCCATTGCACTGCAATACTGTACACAGACACAAAATAGACTCCCCTGCCACGAATATATTCATACCTACAGTACACTCTGTTGCATTTCAATCATATTCAATCCTCCACACCCACCCACCATGGTTTCTCACAATAGATGCTAATAATAACAACACAGGATTAGTCTAAAATTCAATACTTCGCCTTTAGATTAATCCAATCCATACATACAGATTTTTCTTTTTATTCAGCGAAACGGCTCTGCTACCTGTGGCCACTTAGAAAGAATTCCTAGAAGTAGAAATCACTACTCAGAATATAAATTCTCCAATACACTATTTAAACCAAGCTTCTCCACCTTGCAGTAAAATTCTCCCACCCAAATATATCAAATTTTCCTCTCCTTCCCAGAGAGGCCTGGAAAAAGCATAACTAAACCTTGGATATAAGAGCAGCTGTAGCCATCTCCCCCCCCACTGCCCCCAAGAATGGATACCTTAAGTTCCCAAATTCATTCGCAAGTGAGAAACCTTGGAAAATCAAGATCTACCAATTTTTCTGTGACAGGGAAGGAGACCAACCTGTTACACCTGCAATTCATAGCAGTCCATTGGAACACTCCAGACTGGACAACCTGTGTCACAACAGAATTTGCAAGCTGGGCTCCTCCAGGATGAAGCTGGTCTCTTGATTTTTCCAGCCTGCAAAATGGGGATAATTTCATTTGAACCCATGACAATTAAAAGGAAAGCACTTCTAGCAATACATTCAGTTCTACATAATGAGAACGTCTCAAATTCTTTTCTTCCAAGAAGGCATCTTCAGTCAAGTTGACCCAATTCTCACATAGGGAATCCCTTTTCTTGAAATGAAAAACCAAAACCAAAACAAAAATCCCCTTCTCTGAATGGCACAGCACTAGTGATGCTGGCTGCCAGCATAAGTTACAGCTCTATTAAGATAAGGCATGTGAAATTTTTCCTAAATCTGATTAAGGGTTTGGAGTTCGACAAAAGAATGGGGGGTAACGGGAGATCCTCTTCTTTTCCTACCAAAGCCAAGCACCAAATACCTAGAAACATACTGACAAATCCCAGGAAACCACAAGATTAAGGGGTGGTAGGGTGATGCATATTATCGAGCAAGCACCCCCCCCCCCACTCCCCACAACGAATCAACCCCAGCTGGAGTCTGATGGGCGTTAGCCAGCCTTCTCCACCCCTCCTTGGGCTCAAGCAGAAAAAGAAACCAAGCCTTTGTGGGGAGGGAAAGGCAAAGCTCTCCCCCCTTCCCAAACACCACCTCGCCCTGATCCAGAGATAGACTCTCAAAACGCTCGCCTCCTGATTTTTGCATTCTCACACAGATTACCTTACCTGTTCGCCTCGTCGTCCTGCCGCCCCCTCCCCACGCCCCCGGCCCTGTTTCCTTCCTGTGACGGCCGCACGCTTTGCAATGAGAACCTCTTTCCCAATCACAGACCGGGAGGGAAACTAGAGATCCTCTTGAAGGGTAGCAATAACGAAAGAGGGGAATTGGGGAGTGGGGGGGGGACATTAAACCGTGCAAACCCAACCTCCCCCCCTCCCACCCCAGCACAAAATTAAGAGGGCAAGAGATGGGGCCACAGAGGCGGCTCTCCCCCGCCCTGTTTTCCAGAGACCCAACGCTGGCGGGGAACAGGGAAGGGTCGCCCGCCTCGTTTAGAGACCCCCGGCGCCGCGGACCCTCGCGACCAAAGCTCCCTCCGCTGACGGCGCCGCTTAAAAACCGCGTCTGCTCGGGAAGGAGAGGATGCCAGGTCTGCTCTATTCGTCCCCACTCCGATTCTCCCCGCCCCGATTCCTTCGCCATTCGCGCGAATCCCAATTCTAACCTGCCGCTGTGGCAGCCGGTTCCACGCCCGCCTGCGAAGACGCTCGCCCGCCCGCCCGCCTCCCTCCAGCCGCCGCGGTCGCTCGGCGTCTGCGCCCGTCCCAGCCGGTCTGAACCCTTTAAATGTGGCCAGAACCACTGGAGGTGGGCAGGGGGGGGGAGGAGAAAGATCAGAGATGGCTGTGGTAGCCCCTCTCCACCCGGCCCCGCTGGGTCCCTCTTTCCCGAGTCTCTGGGACAGAGCCTCCTCCTCTTTCCTGGGTTAAAGGCAGGGGGCTTTTCTCTCTCTCTCTCTCTCTCTTCCCCGCCAAAGAGTCGCCATGCACGGGCGCCCCCGGACCCTGAAGTGGTATTGCCCGGGCATTCATTCACCCAGACCACAGCCTGGAGCTGAGGCCAGTTGGAAAGTCGGGGTGTCGGGAGCGGGGTTGCTTCAGTGTCGGCTGAGCTTGAAAAGAGCCGAGACGGAAGGCAGCCGGGACAGGGGAGATGTCTGTGAAATGTGCGAGTCAACTGGGCTGAGTCCTTCTCCTTATCCAGCATTGAGGGGGTGTGCAGGGCTCCCTCCCATTT